GCGGCTCTCCCCGGCCGTGCTGGTGGACGTGGCCGAGGGGCTGCCGCGGCTGAGCCGCCTGGGGCTGGCACACACGCAGGCCAACGTGCAGGTGCTGTCGGCCGTGGGCTCCTGCTGCCGCCTCCTGCGGGAGCTCGACGTGTCCGGCTGCAGGAAGGTGACCCCGCGCGCCCTGCGGCACCTGGGCTACGACCCCCTGGCACGGGCCCCCGGCTGCCCCGCGCTGCGCGTGCTGCTGGCCCGCGACCTGGAGCCCGACGGGGACGCGGCGGCCGCCGTGGCCTTCCTGCTGCTGGCCCTGCCGCGCCTGGACGTGCTGGCACACGGGGCCGTGCCGGACGCGCTGCGCCTGCTCCACGCGGGGCAGCTGGACGGCACCGCCGACCCCGAGGGCTTCCCGGCGCTGCGGGAGCTGGCGCGGGGCCGGGGGGGGCCCCCGCTCACCCTGCCCCTGCGGCAGCTCGAGGAGCTGGAGGAGGACGCCCTGGGCACCGGCCGCGCCGTGTGTCCCCGGGCCGAGGAGCTCAGCGTGTGGCTGGGGGACGGGCCCGGCCCCGCGGGGCTGCGGGAGCTGCCGGCCTGGGAGTGCCTGTCCCGGCTGACGCTGGGCTGTGCCGGGCAGCGTGGCCGGGCGCTGGCGGAGGTGCTGCCGCTGGCGGAGGCCCTGGGCACCCGCCTGCACGCCCTGACCCTGCATGGCTTCAGCTGCCCAGACCCGCTGTCGCTGCCCGCCCTGCTCGCCGGCTGCCCCGGCCTGCAGAGCTTCAGCACCGAGCTGCACGTTCCTCCGGACCCCCACGCCCCTGCCGAGCCCCCCACCCTGCCACCCCGCTGGGCCACCGACCTGCTGCCCCAGGGGCTGCCCCAGCTGCAGAGCTTCTCGCTGGCCCTGGCCGGGCCCGTGCCAGCCGCTCACGTGCCGGTGCTGAGCTCCACGCTGGCCTCGGTGCTGAGCCGGGCCCCGCGGCTGCAGAGCCTGTGCCTGCTCGCCCTGCCCTTCCCGCTGGACTCGGTGCTGGAGCCGGAGCTGGGGGAGCTGCAGGAGCTCTCGCTGGCCGGGAGCCAGGTGTCCCCCCACACCGTGTGGCACCTGCTGGGCTCCGAGGGGCCCCTGCGGCGCCTGGACCTGTCCCGCTGCCCCGACATCCACCGGCGCGACTACGACGGGTTCCTGCAGTTCGTGCGGAGGCAGCGCCTGGACCTGGACATCACCTGGGAGTGACGGCACTGGGGGCTTTAATAAAGGGGTCACACTCCCACCGGGCCGGCGCTGTGTCATCCCTTGGGTGGCACGGGGCGGGCACACGGCAACCAGAGGGGTGATCGTGTCTCCCTCCCCACCCTGAGGGTCTCCCTGTGTGGCCACGTGCCGAGGGCTCAGCCCCGGGGTCCCTCCGTGAGCCCCGTCAGCCGCTCCGACGCCTCCCAGAGCTTCCGTGCCAGCGCGGCGTCGCGGGCGGGCGCCGAGGGCAGCGCCAGCCGGCACGAGCTGTCGAAGTACTTCCCACTGACGCCCTCGGCCTCCTCCGACACGGCGCAGAAGATGGTGCTGGCAGCGCCCTGCTCGGCCGACTGCGGGGGACGCGGGTCAGGGGGGTCCTGCAGCCCCTGCCCCCCCTCTGCCCCGGGCCGGGCAGGACCCGGCCCCGCTCACCTTGATGAAGGGGCGCAGGAGCACGAAGAGCGCCCGCACGGCCCAGCTGAAGTGGCGCATGATGCTGGTGCTCACCACGCCGGGGCTCAGCGCGTTGGCCGTCACCCCTGCCGGGCCGCAGCGTCAGTGCCACGCCAGGGCACCACGGGGAACGGCGGGAGCAGCCCCAGCCCGGCCTCAGAGCAGGGCCTCCCCCGTGCCTGGCGCCAGGGCCACCCTGGCCGGGGTTCTGCTGCCCACACGTGTTCTGGGGAGTCTCCAACTGGGGTGAGACCCCCCAGCGCCATCGGCAGCCCCTGGGCCGTGGCACAACAGCACAGAGGGGGTGGGATGGGGGTGGCCCTTGGGCGTGCCCGGGTGCCCCTCGGCACAGCCAACCCTGGCACCCACCTGTGCCCCGCAGACGCCGCGCCAGCTCCGCGGTGAAGAGCAGGTTCATCAGCTTGGTGCTGCTGTAGGCAGCGTCGTACCCACCCGGGTGCCGCTGCCCCGTGAGGAACCCGCTGTCGGCCGTGCCCACGCTGTGCCGGAACGACGAGACATTGACCACCCGCGAGGGCGCCGAGGCCTTCAGCAGGTCTGTGAGGAGCAGGGGGTGAGCGGGGAGGGGTCCCGGATCCGCCACACCCCTGTGCTCACCCGGCAGCAGGGCGTGAGCAGGAATGGTGTGAGAGGGGAGGGCACCCCAGAGCCCCCCGGCCCCCCACCCACCCAGCAGCAGGTTGGTGAGCAGGAACGGGCCCAGGTAGTTGGTGGCGAAGGTTTGCTCCAGCCGCTCGGAGGTGATGGTGAAGGGCAGCCCTGGAAAAGGGGGGTGGGCACTGTGTGGGCAGCACAAAAGGGGCGGGGCGCTGGACCGGGCGGGGGCCGCGGGGCCGTACCGGTGACCCCGGCGTTGTTGACCAGCACGTCGAGCCGCGGCTCCTCCCGCAGCACGGCGCGGGCGAAGGCGCGCACCGAGGCCAGCGAGCCCGTGTCCAGCAGTCGCAGCACCACCGCCGGGTTCCCGGTGGCCGCCCGGATCTCCTCCACCGCCGCCTGGCCCCGCTCCCGGCTCCGGCACGCCAGGATGGTGCGGGCGTTCCGGCGCGCCAGGTCCATGGCCACGCACTTGCCGATGCCTGCGGCACACGGAGCGGGCCGGGCTGATCCCCGCCGGGCCCCCAATGCGAGGGGTCCCCGGGGGTCACCTGCTGTCCCCAGGGTCCGGGCAGCCCCTTCTGCGGGCCCCAAACCCCCCCCCAGCCCAGTACCCACACAGCTCTGTGTCAGTGTTCCGGCACAGCAGGGAGCAACCGGGGCGGGAACGGAGCCGAGCACACGTGGGGCCACCCTGTCCCTGGGCACACGGGGACACCCCGATCCCAACCTGGGGGTCCCAGTGTCCCCGGCTGTGCCAGCCCGACCCCGTGCTCAGCAGTGGGACACGGGTGGGAGCAGTGACCCCCTTCCTGGTGTGACAGGGTGGCCGTGGTGGCCGGCAGTGTGGTGACCTTGGCTGTCAGTCATTAACGCAGCCGGGACAGAGTCTGGACACCGAGGGTGGGCAGGGGGCACGAGGGGTGCCCACCCGGCATGAGGTGCCATGGGCCCGGGGCCCGGGGATCACATTGTGGGTTCCCAGGGACCAGCCACCGGCTGCTCCCACAGCCGTCTGCAGCCCCGAGGCAGGGGCTGGGCACCAGGGCTGGAGAAGGGACACCCACGTTCTCCGCAGGACACCCCACAGCTCCGTGTCACCCACACACGTCCCCGTCCCCGCTCACCGCTGTTGGCTCCGGTGACAATCACTGTCTTGCCCGTCAGGTCGGCGGGACACTTGCGGGGGTCCCAGGGGGGTCTGCGCCTGGCCCAGAGCAGCAGCCCCGAGGGCAGGAGGAGCAGGAGCCACCACGGTGGGCTCAGGGCCCCCGGCAGCTCCATGGCCGGGCACGGGCGGGGCCGGGGACAGAGGTCGGAGCAGGACCTTTGCCCAGCCGGCAGTAGGGCACGGCACGGGCCCCTCTGGCCCGGGAGCTGCCGGGACACCGGGACAGACAGGAGAGTGGCTGGAGCGGGCAGGAGGGTGAACTGTGTGCCCCCTGTGCCACCCCGGTGTCCCGTGTGCCACCCCGCTGGAAAGGGTTAACGGCAGTTGCAGTATTCCCTCTAATCAGCACTCCGTGGTGAAACCTGTCACTGAAAACTCCGCGGGCGCTGCCTCCGCCCCGACAGCAAAAGGAACAACGTTTCAGTTCTGCCCCTGCCCAGGAGGGACCCAAACAGCTCCTTTTCACCCCAAAGTTTTCCTGCGGTGCGTTGTGTGACAAGGAAGGAGCTGCACAAGCATAGGGAGCGGGACCAACAGGACACTTGATTTTGGGGTACTTGTCTTGTTCGACCCCCAGAGTGGAGCCCCACGAACACCGAATGAAGTGCCGAGCACGTGCGACGGCGAGACCACGCCCACTCCGCATCACGCTATGAACTGAAACCACGCCCACTCACCTCATTCTAATGAAGATCCGAAAACCACGCCCACTCCCCCTCTTATGCTAATGAGGAACTGAAACCACGCCCACTCACCTCATTCTAATGAAGATCCGAAAACCACGCCCACTCCCCCTCTTATGCTAATGAGGAACTGAAACCACGCCCACTCACCTCATTCTAATGAAGATCCGAAAACCACGCCCACTCCCCCTCTTATGCTAATGAGGAACTGAAACCCCCGCCTCATTAGCAACAGAGAGTAGGCGTTGTTTCCAGGTGCCGCTCCGGTGTCCCCTGTACCACCTCAGTGTCCCCGGTGCCACCCCAGGGCTGTTCACCCCCCTCGCTGTCACCCCGGGGCGGCTGCAGGAGGGGCCATGCCCGGAGCAGCCCCGACCCGGTGGCCGCGTCCTCCCGGACGGGCAGCCCGGGGACAGGGCGAGGCCCACGGCTTGCTGATGGGGTGAAACCACCCGTGTCACCCCGTTCCATCCCCCCGGTTTCTCCTCTGGGGGCAGATGGGCTGCGGGGACGCGCCGCGGGTGGGCCCGGGGGGTGGCGGCACCGCGGCTGCTGCGGCCGGAGTTCACGGCCCCGCTCCGGTGGGACCGCCCGGGCCCCGGTGCCGGTGCCGGGCAGCGGCGGGAGCCCGGCGACGGAAAACCCCTCTGATTTGATTTTATTCCTGTTCTCTTCAGCAGCCCTGGCAAAGGGCCCTGAGCTCCGGTCCCGGTGCCGGCCCCGGCGCGACTGGAGGTAGGACACGGGGTGCCGAGGGCCCCCCGAGGGCCGGGGGTCCCCCCGGAGCTGGGACAATCCCAGGAGGGGCAGCGCCCGGCGCAGCCGCATTCCCGGCGGGTTTTCCAGGCTGCCCTCAGCGCTCGCCGTCCGACGCGAGCCGGAACGCCGGGGCGGAGAGGATGGGCCTCAGCTCCCGCTCGGCCTCGCTCACCTCGCCCTCCTCCTCCTCGTGCTCGCCGTGCCCCGCCGTGCCCGGCCCGCGCCGCTCGCCGCCGGCCCAGCGCACGGTGACCCCGGGCGCCAGCAGCGCCGAGCTCAGCCAGGAGTCGCACGGCGGGGGCTCGGGGCTGGGGGGGCCCGGCGGGGGCTGCGGGGGCCCCGGCGGGGCCGGCTGGCCCCGACGGCCCCCCGTGTCCGGCGGCCGGCTGGCGCGGGGGGCAGCGCGGGGCCGCGGCCGCTCGGGCTCGGTGAACACGTCCAGCACCTTCACCTGCGGCCGGACCCGCGTGGAGCCGCGCCGGGCACCCGGCCTGGCGACCCCCGGGGCGGGGCCGGGCCCCTCCGACACCGCCCCCGGGCCGCGAGGGGGTCTCCCCGGCTGGAGGGAACCCAGGCTGGCGCGGGGGGACGATGGCGGTGCCGGCTCTCGGTCGCCCGGCCCGGCCCCGCGGGATGCCCGCTGTTCCCCCCGCGCCGGGGGCTCCGGGGGCTCGGCCGGGCGCGGGGCCGGGGGCCGGGGGGGGCCCAGCGGGGCCGGGCGGGGCCGGGGCGGCCGCGAGGGACGGGATTCTCTGTCGGGGGACCGGGGGGCGGTGGGAGGCTTCGGGCGGGGTGGCCCTGGCGCGGGCAGGGTGGGAACAGCGCCGGGGACCCGGCCGGGAACCGCGGGGGGAGCTCCGGCTGCTGCGGGGGGGTCCTGGCTCGGGGGCTTCGCATCGAGGACCTGCCGGGGGCAGAGGGGAGCCGGTGTGGGTGGGGGTGTCGGGGTGCCCCGTGGGGTGAGCCGGGGTGGGTGACACTCCGGGTGGCCCCGGAGCTACAGGGGCTCAGCGCGGGGGGGTCACAGGGAGGGACGGGGCACGTCTCACCTCTCCCCGGGACAGACGGACAGCCGGGACGGTGACAGCGTCGAGGGCCCGGAGAGGATGCTCGGAGGAAGCCTCGTCTGTCACGGGGGATTCCTGGGACGGGACCTGCCCGGGGGGACAAAGAGGGGCCGGTGTGGGTGACACCGGGTGTCCCGCGGCCCCGGGCGGTTCTGCGGTGGTCGGGGCACGTCTCACCTCTCCCAGGGACGGAGGGACCAGCCGGACGGGGACAACGCCCTGCGCCGAGGTGTCCAGGACGCAGGGCTGGGGCTCCTCGTCCTCGCTCCAGGCTCGGGCTCGCTCGGGGTCCGGGTCCTCCCCGGGGTCGGGGTCCCCCTCGTCCCGCGCCAGGAACCGCCACTCGACGACACACAGGATGGCGTCCCGCGCCCGGGACACCGTGTAGGGCACCCGCTGCAGAGACAGCGCTGAGACCCCCGCCCGGACCACCAGACACCCCTAGGACCCCCAAATCGGGGGAGGGCGGTCTCTCACCTGCCGCGCCACCGCCGCCCGCACGCTCTCGGCTATCACCCGGTCCAGGAGCTCGGCCAGGATGTCCTCGACATCCAGGGGTTCCCCGGGCGGGGACCTCCTCCCGCCCTCGGCCGGGGGCGTGTGGGTGTCAGAGTGGGTGGAAGCCCGGGGGGAGGCCCGGGCGGGGGGGCGCGACTTGTCCCGTCGCGCTTTGGGGGCTGACGATCTCTTTTTCTGCGCGGGGACAGGAGACCCCACAGCTCCCCCTGCCCAGCCGAGCGGGGACACGGCATCCCGGGGGGGACTGACCCAGTGCACCCCAGTGTAGACCAGTACAGCACAGCCCACCCCAGCGCGGACCTCCAGCTCATCCCAGTACGTCCCAGTATAGACCAGTACACCCCAACCCATCCCAGCGCGGGCCCCCAGCTCATCCCAGTATAGACCAGTACAGCACAGCCCACCCCAGCTCATCCCGGTACACCCCAGTATAGCGCATACACCTCAACCCACGGCAGCGAGGGCCCCCAGCTCATCCCAGTACATCCCAGCTCATCCCAGTACATCCCAGCTTATCCCAGTACATCCCAGCTTATCCCAGTACACTCCAGCCCCCCACACCCGCCCCAGCCCCTCCCACCCCCTGTGCCCCCTTCCCCCGCCCCGTCCCACCTCGGCCATCCCTCCCTTGGCGTCCCGGTCTCCACGGCAACGCTGACGTCATCACCGCGCGCCGCTCTCCCGTGCGCCATCACGCCGCGACGCGTCTCCATGGCGGCGGCGGGCACCGGGTGAGCGGGGGGGATCGGGGGGAGCTGGGGGGGACTGGGGAGACTGGGGGCGGCCCGGGGGTCGGACAGGGGGGATTTCTGGGGTCCCTGGGACAGAACGGGGGGCAGGAGGGCCCTGGGAGGGGAGGGGCGGGGCGCTGGATCTGCCCCCGGCGCCCCCGGCCCTGCCCCCGCCCCCGCGCCCCCCGGAGCTGTTCGGGCCCCTCGGAGCTGCCCCGGCTCTCTGGATCTATCCGTGACCACTCTGGATCTGCGCCCGGTGCCCCTGTATCAGTTCGGCCCCCCCGGCCCGGGGTGACGCCCCGGCTCTCTGTGCCCCCAGGTACCGCCGGGAGCGGGCCCTGGCCCTGCGGAACAGCAGCTCCGCCCTGTACAACAACCTGACCGTGCTGTGCCCCCCCGCGCGGCCCCCCCGGGCCTTCGGCGCCGTGCACGGCACCACCCTCAGCCTGCTGGGACCCGAGGGGCCCCCCCGGCAGCTGCCGGCGCGGGGGGGGGGCTCGGCCCTCAGCACCCCCCTGCTCACACAGGTGAGGGGCAGGGGGTACAGGTGGGGCCTGGCACCCTCCTGGCACTACAGGTGACATCGGAGCCAGGGAGGAGGGCCAGGGGGCCCCGGGGTCCTACAGTGCCCTAATTGTGGGGAGGGGGAGAGGGAAGCAGCCCCTTGGGGGGGTTGTGGGACACTGGGGGGGTCCCCAAGGCTGACAGGTACCCACCTGTGGGATCTCCAAATACACCTGGCCCTGGGGGGCTGTGGCCGGGCCCTCCCCCAGGAGTGGGGTCTGGGGGGGCCCCAGGAGAGCAGAGGGGGGTCCTGCCTCTGTTGGAAGGTTTTGGGGGGTCCCAGGAGGAGGGTGTGGGGGTCCTGCCCCTGCCTCCCTCCCACCCCGCTGTGTCCCCCAGGCCGCCTGGTGCGAGCTGCCAGCCCGGGTGCTCCTGGTCCTCACGTCCCAACGCGGTGTCCAGGTGAGGGCTGGGGGGCCCGGGGGGGGCCCTGGAGGTCCCGCTGCTCCCCCAGGGCTGTCACCCCCCGGGTCCCACCCTGTCCCCCCTGTCCCAGATGTACGAGGCCGACGGCTCCACCCTGGTGTTCTGGCACGCGCTGGACGTCCCGGAGCACCCGGCAGGTGAGTGCCCTGAGCCCCCCAGCACTGCCAGGGACACGCCTGGCCATGCCCCAAGTGCCACATCCACAGGGGGTTAAATCCCCCCGCCCTGGGCAGCTGTGCCAGGGCTGGACAGCCCTTTCCAGGAAGGAATTTTCCCAATATCCAACCTGAGCCTCCCCTGGCACAGCTGGAGCCGTTCCCTCTCCTCCTGTCCCTTGTTTCCTGGGAGCAGAGCCCGACCCCCCCCGGCTCCCCCCTCCTGTCAGGGGGTTCCAGAGCCAGAAGGTCCCCCCTGAGCCTCCTTTTCTCCAGGCTGAGCCCCCCCAGCTCCCTCAGCTGCTCCAGCTGCTCCAGCCCCTTCCCAGCTCCTGCCCTGGACACGCTCCAGCCCCTCAATGTCTTGTGAGGTGCCCAAACCTGCCCCAGGGTTGGAGAGTGACCCCCCAGTGCCTGGCACAGGGTTCAGTCCCTGCCCTGGGGTCCCCCAGGGGTGACACAAACCCTTCCCTTCCAGCACATTCCGTGTTTGCCCGAGGCATCTCCGCGGCCGGGGAGCGCTTCATCTGCGTGGGTGAGCTGGGCTGGCTGTGGGCAGGGCAGGGGGCCCGGGAGGGCTGAGCCCTGCTGACCCCCTGACCCGCAGGAACGTCCTCCGGGGCCGTGCTGGTCTTTGACATCCCCCCCAAAGGCACCAACGTGACCCTGAGCGAGGTCCTGGAGCAGCACCGGGATCCCGTCACCGACATCGCGGCCGAGCAGGGCCAGGCCCCGGTAAGGGGGAGGGTGGGGGGCCCTAAATCCCATCGATCCCACCCCCTGCCATGGGCAGGGACACCTCCCTCCAGCCCGGGTTGCTCCAAGCCCTGTCCAACCTGGCCTTGGACACATCCAGGGATGGGGCAGCCACAGCTTCTCTGGGCAGCCTGTGCCAGGGCCTCTCCACTCTCACAGGGAAGGATTTCTTCCCTAAGTCCCACCAAATCGCCCCTTTTGCAGTGGGAAGCCATTCCCCCTTGTCCTGTCCCTCCATCCCTTGTCCAAAGTCCCTCCCAGCTCTCCTGGATCTCCGTTAGGCACTGGAAGCTGCCAGGGCTGGGTCCCTGCAGACGCTCATTAGCCTCCTCCCTGCACACGAGACTGCTCAGCACTTTCCCTGATGAGTCACACAGAACTTTCCCTGCCCTGGGATCCCCAAGGAATTCATCCCCAGAACCGGTTCCCAGAGCTGTTGTGTCACCGTGGGGCCACGGAGCTGTTGTGTCACCGTCCCCTCACACGCCCCCCTGGACTTTGCTCCATGGGTTCCAGGGGCTCCTGGGGCCAGGGTGTGGGATTCCCGGGGCTGGGAGGAGCCGAGACTCATCCCGGAGGGAGGGAGGGTGCCCCGACTGTTCCTCGAAACCCGCCCTTGCTGTGGCTGTCTGGGCAAACAGGGACGTGTTCCAGCGGAGCCGCTGCGGGCGCTCCCGGCCCCGCTCGGGAGGATCCGTCAGCACTTTGGGAGCTGTGTCAGCTCCTCCCGGGGCCCGTGGGGCAGCCCCGGAGCCAGGGGCAGTGCCAGGGCCCGTCCTGAGCCATCTCTTTCACAGGAGGCAGCTGGGGATCTGGTGACAGCTGATGACTCCGGGACCCTCTGCCTGTGGAGCACCGGGGAGGAGTTCACCCTGCTTGGAAGGATCCCAGGATCTGGGTGAGCCCCAGGGGTCCCGTGGGGTGTCAAACACGCGGGAGGGTGACTGGGGGGACCCCGGGCAGGAGGTGACACGAGCCCCTGTCCCCAGCTGCACCTGCTCCTCGGTGACGCTGTGGAACGGGATCGTGGCTGCGGGCTACGGGAACGGGCAGATCCGGCTGTGGGAGGCAGGGACGGGGCAGCTCCGTGCCCAGGTGAGCGCCCACGCCCGCTGGATCTACGCCCTGGACCTGGCACCGCTCACCGGAAAGGTACGGGGGGGTCAGGGCATCCCACCCGGCATCCCACCCGGAATCACACCCCAGCATCCCACACTGGCATCCCACCCGCACGCCAAGCTGGCTTCACACCTGGAATCCCACTGGCATCCCACCCTAGCATTCCACCCTGGAATCCCACCTGGAATCCCACCCCAGCATCCCCTCCTGGCCCTGGCTCCGCCGCCCCCGCGGTGTCCCCACGGCCCCTCCGCTCCCCCGCAGCTGCTGTCGGGCGCAGAGGATTCCTTTGTCCACGTCTGGAAGCTCAGCAGGGACCCGGACACGGATGATGTCGAGGTGAGTCTGGGCCTGGGACAGGGATGTGGCCCTTGGAGCCACATCTGCTCCTTGGGGCCTGGGCCGTGTCCCTGGAGCCGTGGCTGCCCCGTCCCGGCGTTGCTCCGGCCGCTGTCCCGCAGATCCGGCACTGCCACGCCGAGTGCGTGACGGACACGCAGGTCTGCGGCGCCCGCTTCTGCGACCCCGCCGGGGACACCTTCGCTGTCACCGGCTACGACCTGAGCGAGATCCTCTGCTACGGCCCGGCCTGAGCCGGGAACATCGGGAACGTCGGGAACGTCGGGAATGTCGGGAACATCGGGAATGTCGGGAACATCAGGAATGTCGGGCCGATCCAGCACCGCGGGCGAGGGGTGAGCACAGACCCCCCTCCACTCCGAGGGGATGTGAGGGGGAGCTGGGCCGGATCCCCCCGTCCCCAAAGCCCTCCCGAGGGCCGGAGCTGCTCTGGAGCCACCCCATCGAGGGGATCCCCAGGTCCTGGGATCCTCCCGTGGCCCCCCACCCTTCCCCGAGGGCTGCGTGGCTGGGAACGGGCTCGGCCCAGACGGGAGGATCCCGGGAAACCTGTGCTACCTGCTGCTCTGCCCCAGCCAGGAGAGCCCTGAGCCTGGCCCAGCCCTGAGCCTGGCCCAGCCCTGAGCTCAGCCCAGCCCTGAGCCTGGCCCAGCCCTGAGCCTGGCCCAGCCCTGAGCTCAGCCCAGCCCTGAGCCCGGCCCAGCCCTGAGCTCAGCCCAGCCCCGAGCTCAGCCCAGCCCTGAGCCCGGCCCAGCCCTAAGCTCAGCCCAGCCCTGAGCTCAGCCCAGCCCTGAGCTCAGCCCAGCCCTGAGCTCAGCCCAGCTGCGGGGCAGCTCCCGTGGGCCCCGAGAACTCCGGTCACAGGGGGACCGGGATGGGAGGGAGTGGGGGATCAGTGGGGACGAGGGGAGTCTGGGAGACCCCACACCCCCGTGGGACCTCACAGCCCTGTGGGACCCCAACCTCTTCTAGGACCCCACGACCCCACAGCCTCATGGGACCCCAAGCTCCCGTGGGAACCCACACCCCCGTGGGACCCCACAGCCCCCCAGCCGCTGGCCAGATGTGCGAGGCCCCAGCTGTGCTGCGGGGCTGGAAACTGCAGCAGCAGCTGCAGCAGTACCTCAGGGACGTCCTCAGGTCCCCCCGGCTGCCCCTGACCCCCCCGGGGGGCTGCCCTGCCCTGGCCCCCCCGTGGGAGCTGACGTGACCCCAGGCTCTGCTCCCAGGGCCTTGTGAGGCCGTGGGGAGGACACACAGACAAGGGGGGCTCAGTCTGGGACAGGCCCTGATGGGGGGGAGCCCCCAGCCTGCCCCCCCAGCCACTCCTGCCACGCTGGGGGACGAGCCATGGACAGGGATCTGCCCCCCCCAGTAAATGACCCCACCCGTGTGTCCCACTTTGCCTCCCCCAACCCGTGAGCTGCACCCCCACGTGTGGGTCAGGGCCCCCCACTCCTGTTCCCAACCCTCATGTACTTTGTAACCCCCCCAATAAATACACCCGAATGAAGCCCCCAGTGTTGCTCCTTCCTATGGGAAGGGGTTTGGGGGGCAGAGCGGGATGGGGGGCACTCAGAGTCTGTTACAAAAAGCTTTATTAAAGGTTAAAACAGCTGCTGCTGAGGCGGGGGGCCCACTCCAGGCCGGGGGGGCCCACTCCAGGCCGGGGGGGCCCTGGAAGGCCCGGGGGCCGCTGTGCTCCTGGGGTAAAAAAGTGTAAAAATGGTTGTGCAGTTCAGCCCGGAGGGGTTGGACGGTGCCACCCCCACTGCAGGGGGACACAGCCCAGGGACAGGGACAGTGTCCCCCCTGGGCCCAGAGCCCGGGGGCCCGTCCAAGGCACAGAGATGAGCCGGGGGCTCTCGCAGCCACACAAGCACCCGGGGACCCCCCCACGCCCACCCCCCACCCCACCCTGCTCACAGCTTGGCCCCCCCACCCCCTGGGGGGGAGAAAATACAGCACCAGAGAGCCCTGCGGGGGGAGAAGCCCTCAAGAAAGACGGGGGGGCGGCAGAGCCCCCGCTCCCTGCATGCCCCCAGCCCCAAATACTGCTCGGTCAGAGGTAGCACCAGCGTTGGCCGGGGCGGGGGGCCCTGCCGGGGGGCTCGGCACGGCCCCCCCGGGGGGAAGGCACGGTGGGCAGGGGGCTGTGCCCCAGCAGAGCCTGTAAACAGCCAGGGGTGGGGCAGGTAAACAGGCCCTCGGAGCAGGCTGGCCGAGCCCCCCAGCCCAGGGGGGGGGTCATAGGGCCCAGCCCTTCAGTTCTGTGTGGAGTCCCTGGGGCTGAGCCCCCCATTCCAGCGTGGGGGTCCCGACCCTGAGCCACACAGCCCAGCACAGGGACCCCCAGCCCAGCACAGGGACCCCCAGCCCAGCACAGGGACCCCCAGCCCAGCATGGGAGCCCCAGCCCAGCCAAGCCCCCCAGCCCAGCGTGGGAGCCGCAGCCCCAAGCCCCTCACTTAGAACAGGGACCCCCAGCCCAGCTGAGCTCCCCTGCCCAGTGTGAGGGTCCCAACCTCAAGCCCCTCAGCTCAGCACAGGGACCCCCAGCCCATCCAAGCCCCCCAGCTCCATGTGGGGGTCCCAGCCTCGAGCCCCTCAGCCCAACACGGGCCCCCCCAGCCTGGCCGAGCCCCCCAGCCCCACACAGGGGCTCCCAGTCCAGCCAAGCCCCCCAGCCCCACGCGGGGGTCCCAGCCCCTCGTCCCCAGCTCAGGACACGGGGGGCGAGGGCCGCCAGAAGCACCACTTGCTGCGGGGGTGCTGCTTGCGCTGGAGCTGCTCCTCGCGCTCCCGCTCCTTCTTGGAGCGCAGGTACAGATCCTCCTCCTTCAGGTACCACACCGGGGGCCAGCGGTGCCGCTCGAAGTGCGCCTGGTTCTCTGTGGGGGTGGCCCGGGGCTTAGGGCACGGCAGGGACGCCCCCCGAGTCCCCCCGCGCCCCCCCGGCCCCCCGTACCTGGGGACATGAACTTCATCTCGCGGGGGAAGCGGCGGCACACGCGGTTGTAGTTGGTGCAGATGTAGTGCAGGCACCACGCGGCCAACTGGTGGGCGTTGTGGAACTGGGGGGGCACGGGGGGTCACCCCACTGCCCGCACCCCCCCGGGGGTCCCTGTGCCCCCCCGGGGGTTCTCCGTGCCCCCCAGCCCCCCGTACCTGCGTCATCTCCAGGTAGATGATGACCTGCTCGTCGATCTCCACGCGCTGCATGAAGGCTCGGAGCAGCTCGTCCACGGCGTATTGCTCTGGGGGCAGCGGGTCGGGGGGGTCACTCACCGGGGATGTGCCCCCCGGGGTGAGCCAGGCCCCCCTGGGATTGGCAAGGGCAGGGAATGACACACAGGGACGATCGATCCGACCCCGCGGCACCGGCAGAGTATTGGCAGGTGACGTCAGGGGACACGGGGGCCGGGGGCCGGGGTCTCACCGGTGAGCGCCTGCAGCCGCGGCAGGCACAGCCGGTCCGTGAGGATGAGCAGCTCCATGGCGTCCAGGTCGGGCGTGGGGGTGAAGACCCCCGTGTAGAGGAAGTCGAGCACGGCGCGGAGGCAGGCGCAGTTGGTGCCGGGCAGGGATACCTGCGGCACCAGGGACGGGTTTGGCGGGGCTGGAGCCACCCCGGGGGGGCCGGGGCAAGGAGGGACCCTCCTGGCAGTGCCTGACCTGGCACAGCCCCCTCAGCCCCGGCACAGCCCTCCACAATTCTGGCACAGCCCCTCCTGACCCAGCACAGCCCCCCCGACCCAGCACAACCATCCCACAACTCTGGTACAGAGTCCCCTGTCTGGCACAGGCCCCCAGCCCTGATACCATCCCCCTCACCCAGAACAGCTCCCCCAGCCCCAACATAGCCCCCCCAGCCCTGGCACAACCCCCCCCGATCCAGCAGAGCCCCCCAGCCCTGGAATAATCCCCCCAGGCCCAGCACAGAACTCCCTGACCCGGCAGAGCCCCCCACTTTCTCTCCAGCAGAAGGGAAGCAGGACCCAGCTGTGTCAGGGCTCGGAGGGGGGTCCAAGCAGCCCCCAGCCCCCACCCAAAGATGCCCACCCTTCCAGCAACCCCGTGGCAGAGCCAGTGGGTCCCCCCAGGTTCCCCAGCCCCCACCTCTTGGGCGTAGCTCTCGCGGAAGCCCCCCCGGAACATGGCCCTCATCCAGTCACAGCCAGCGATGAGCAGCGGCTTGTGCGCCGGCACCAGCCCGTCATCCACCCGGAACACCACGTCTGGGGACAGGGGACAGCTCAGGGGGGACAGGGGACAGCTCAGGGGGGACAGGCACCCCTGCCCAGAACTGACAGCCCCGGACTCCCGGCAGCCCCACCCACCACGACTGACTGGACAAGGGCTCCGGGCCCCCAGACCCCAGTGGCCTCAGTGGTGGGAGGGGATCAGGGTGAGCGGAGCCCTGTGTCCAAGCCGACATCACAGGAGGGGGACACCGGCCGGAGGGGACGGAGCCGGGTGACCCCCCTGTCCTCACAGCCCCCCAGGGCCCCCGTACCCGCGAAGACGCCCTTGGCCAGGCACTCCTTGACGCGGTTGGCACGGCGCACGTGGAAGGCCTTGGTGATCTCCTGGTTCATGAAGCTCTCCTGGTTGAGCTCGTTGGCCACCATCATGCGCAGGTCGAACACCTCGAGCAGCTCGGCCACGGCGCCCACCTGGCGCAGGTCGGCGTGGGGCCGCTCCAGCCGCCCGGTGTACAGGTACTCCAGCACGGCGCGCAGCGGCTCCGGCCGCACGGCCCGGTCCATGGCCACCACCGCCATGCGCCGCGCCCGCCCCGCCGCCGGCTCCGGCACCTCCTCCCAGTGCAGGCTCAGGAACCCGCGGCCCCACCCCGACAGGTCGCGGGTGCCCCCGTCCCCCTCGCCGGGGGTCCCCTCGAGCGTGAACAGGTCGTAGAAGCGGGAGCAGGCGGTGGCCAGGAACACGCGGTGGGCGAAGACGCGGTGCCCGCCCTGCAGCTGGAACACGACGTCGGCGCAGAGCGGGGCCCGGAACAGCGCGGCCGGGCCCCCCCCCAGCCCGGGGGGCGCGTCGGGCACCTGGATGAGGGGCGGGGGGGGCTTGGGGGGCAGGAAGGGTGCCTGCAGCAGCGGGCGCTGCATCTTGCGCAGGTGGGACTTCCAGAACTGCAGGTGGCGGCGGGACACGAGCGCGGCGCGGATGGCGTTGTCGAACACGTCCTTCACCCCGAACTGCGCCACCACGCTGGTCTCGTAGTACGGCACCCCCAGCTCCTGCGCCACCTCGTGCCCCCGCTCCGGCGGCAGGATGTCCGAGGGCTTGATGGGCCTGTGGGGGTACGGGCAGGGCAGGGGCTGGGGAGGCTGAGGAGCGGCTCCCCAGGCATCCCAGGGGGTGCTGGGGGCTCCGGGGGGACACCCCAACCCAGGAGTGCCAGGGCGGGCGGGGGCTCTACCCCACAGGTGCTGCCAGGGGCCCCCACCCAGGGGAGTCGGGGGGGACACAGGCACGGGCAGGGACACACCCTGACCTGGTAGTGGCAAAACGGGGGGTCCCCTGGGCAGCAGAGGGAGGGGTCCCCATTCCCACGGGACCGGCTGGGGTCCCCAGGACGGTACACTGGGGGGTCCCTGTCCCCGTGGGGCTGGGGCGGTGCCCAGGTGGGTGGCCCGGGGGCTCACTTGGCCAGCGGCCGGCGCGCGCGGTTGACGGCGTCCAGGTCGGCGTAGCGCAGGTCCAGCTGGCAGCCCACCAGCACGATGGGCGTGCGCGGGCAGAAGTGCTTGATCTCGGGGTACCACATGGTCTTCACGTGCCGCAGCGAGTTGGGGTTTGCCAGCGAGAAGCAGAGCACGACCACGTCCGACCTGGGGGCACGAGCAGGACGGGAGGGCAGCGCTGCCCCGGTGCCACCCCAGCCTCACCCCACGGGCACAGACACTGTCACCCTGCGGCTCCAAACACTCCCTGCTCGGGGGGGCACCCTCCTGGCACACCTGTCACTGCCCCCAGCCTTCAGGAGTCCCATGACCCACTGAGAGCCCCTTGATTATGGTGGGCCCATAGACCCTCAGAAACCCCCCAGACCCCCAGGGCACCCCCAGACCCCCAAGAGTCCCACAGGCCCCAAGAGTCCCATGGCCAGGGGAGCCCCATGGTCCCCAGGGGGTCCCAGGAAACCCTGGGAGCCCCACAGCCCCCAGGGCCCCATGGCAGGGGCAGTGAGGCCAAGGAGGGACCCGATGGGACCTGGCTCCGGGTCACCCCATCAGCCAAGCCGTGGGCTGCCCTGGCTTGGGTCAGCACCGGGGGGGCCTGGCCCCCGAGCATCCACGGGGGGGTCCCACAGGGTCTGGCCGGGTGGGTGCCAGCCCCCAGCCCCAGGGACAGACCCTGCCTGCCACCCCCAGCCCTGTCCCTGCGCCCACGGTGGGGCTGTCACCGTCCTCCTGGCCCCGGCTCGGGGGGTGCAAGGTGCCAGGGCGCATGGGGGGTTGCCAGGGGACACGAGGGGTTGCCAGGGGACACGGGGGTGCCAGGGGACAGCGGGCAGGTGCCAGGGGACACGGGGAGAGTGCCAGCACCCCCAGGTCCCCGCAGCAGCCGCGTGGCCCCAGGCCCGGGTTGTTTTTAGTCCGTGCTCGGCCGGGACGTGACCGGGAGGTGCCGCTGGAGCCGGGCCCGTGTCCCGGACCAAGATAGCCGCCACCGGCCCCCCCGGCCCCGGCCCCGCCGTGCCGCGGGTTGATTAGCGGTGCCGCGGGGCTGGCGCGGGGCGGCGGCGATAAGAGCCCGGACGTGCCGGCGGCCACGGGGACGGCTGTTTACAGCCGAGGGAACCGGGGGGGGCCGGGGGGGCCCCTCCTGCGGCCAGGCCGGCGCCCCCAGGGAAGGGTTCCGCACTCCAACAGCCCCTCAGAGACGCCCCCCACCCACAGCGCCGGGGGGGCCGCGAGCACCCGGGATCTCTGCTCGGGGCAGGGGCTTGGGGGACGCAGTGTTGGGGGCAGGGTACCCCCAAAGCCATCCCCGGCCGGGGGCGGGGCAGTCCCACCGCCCCTCGGAGGGTTTGGGGTGCCGGAGCTGCTCTCTGGGCGCTGGCAGGAGCCCAAGGGGCTCCTTTGGCTCTGTGTGCGCTGGGTGGGCAGGGCTGGGGGGGTCGGGGTGCCGCTGGGGGGGCTCGGGGTGCCGGTGGCGGGTCGGGGTCCCACCTGCCGTAGGCGAAGCGCCGATCCTTATGATGGTCCCCGAAGGTGTCCCAGAGGCGCAGGGAGACGCTGACCTCGTCCACCACATCGCGGGAGCGCTCCAGCACCTGCCGGCACCGGGACCGGCACCGGGACCGGCACCATCACCGACCGCCCCGCCCGGTACACCCAGTACCACCCCGCTATACCCCCCGGGTCCCCTCCCGGTTCCCCCCCTCGATGTCCCTCCCGGTGCCCGGTGGCCCCCGCTGCCTCCCCCGCCCTGGTGCCCCCCGTGCCCGGCGTCCCCCGGTAACCCCCCTCCCGCTGTCGCCCTCCCGATGCCCGGCGCTGCCCGGCGCTGCCCGGCGCTGCCCCCCGCCCTCACCTCCTGGCAGACGCGGTACTGGTCGATGGCCCACACGGTGGGCACGTGCGTGGCCAGCAGCCGGTACTGGCTCAGCGTGGCGTTGCAGGCGCGGGCGCAGATCAGCCGCGTCTTGCCCACTGCGTTGTCGCCCACCACGACGCACTTGATGGTCTCGACGTTGGGGCGCTCGTAGTCCACGTCGGGGTCCATGGGGGCGCGGGGGTCCCCGCTCGGCGCCCCCCGCGCGGCCCCGACCCGGGCCCGGCCCGTTACCGACCCCCGCCCCTCCCGCCCCGCCCCTCCCCGCCGCTCGCCCAATCAGCGCGCGCGGCCGCGGCACGCCCCGCCCCGCCCCGCCCCGCCCCGCCAATCCCGCGCGGCACCGCCCGCGCTGCCACGCCCCCCGCCGCCCCGCCCCGCGCGCGGACAAAGGAGCGCCGCCAGGGGGCGCCGCGCGCCACGTGACTGCACCGCCCCGGCCACGCCCACCAGGGTAGGCCACGCCCACAAATGGGCGTGCCCAGGCACACGCCCCTCAGTATGCCACGCCCACCGGAGGGATCGCGGGGGGAGAACGGGGGGGACAGGGACCGGCGACAACGGCGACAGCGATGGCACCAGTGACACCAGTGACACCAGCGGCACCAGCGGCACCAGTGACACCAGTGACACCAGTGACACCAGGGACACCAGTGACAACAGTGACACCAACGACACCAGGGACACCAGTGACACCAGTGACACCAGTGACACCAGCGGCACCAGTGACACCAGTGACACCAGTGACACCAGTGACAACAGCGGCACCAGTGACACCAGTGACAACAGCGACACCAGTGACACCAGTGACAACAGCGACACCAGTGACACCAGTGACAACAGCGGCACCAGTGACACCAGTGACAACAGCGACACCAGTGACACCAGTGACAACAGCGACACCAGTGACAACAGCGACACCAGTGACACCAGTGACACCAGCGGCACCAGTGACACCAGTGACACCAGCGACACCAGTGACACCAGTGACACCAGTGACACCAGTGACACCAGCGGCACCAGCGACACCAGTGACACCAGTGACACCAGCGACACCAGTGACACCAGTGACACCAGTGACACCAGTGACAACAGCGACACCAGTGACACCAGTGACAACAGCGACACCAGCGACACCAGTGACACCAGTGGCAACCGTTGCACCAGCGACACCAGTGGCACAAGTAACACCAGTTATACCTTGGACACCAGTGTCACCAGTGGCACCAGTGACACCAGTGACAAGTAACACCAGTTACACCAGTGCCAGCAGTAACACCAGTGAGAGCAGCAGCACCAGTACCACCAGTAACACCAGTACGGGAGGTAACAGTACCACCAGTAACACCAGTAATGCCAGTAACACCGTCATACCAGTAACACCAGCCACACCAGTTAGGGCCCTAGGACGGGGGGCGACAGGGTGGGCCAGGCACTGCACTGAGGGCGTCCCTGGGGCCAAGATCCCATTTCCCAGCATTTTTTCCCTCCCTGGGGGTTTGGGATTTTCAAGTCGCGGTGCCCAAATAAGGGAACGGCAGGAGAGGCTCCGGGACAGGGAGGGGGGACGGGGCGGGCCAGACGCTGGGCTGGGGGTGTCCCCAGGGCCATATTCATGGGGGGGGGAGGCCGGGGGCACCCCCAGCACCCCAAAATCCTCTTTTCTGGCATAATAAAGGAACTGCGGGAGAGGCTTCGGGGACAGGGGGAAGAGACGGGGTAAGTGGGGCAGGATGAGGATGGGGACCCCTCCCTTGGCCCGGTGCTGGATCCTGGCACAGCCCCTCATCCCAGTGTAGGACTCTGGGACCTGGGCCAACATCCCAGTCTGGGACGGTGCACAGCACCCACATCCCAGTCCAGAACCCTGGCCCAGCATCCACATTCCAGTGTGGAACCGTCATCCCAGCATAGGATCCTGGCACAGCACCCTTATCCCAGTATGGGACCCTTGGGACCTACACCCACATCCCAGTCTGGGACCCTCATCCTGGTGTGGGACCCTGGCACCGCACCCACATTCCAAAGCTGACCCGGGCACAGCACCCACCTCCCTGTGAGGGGTCCTGGGACCTGCACCCGTGTCCCAGAGCAGGAATCTGGCATAGCACCCTTATCCCAGTATGGGACCCTCATCCCAGTGCGGGACCCACATCCCACTACAGGGCCATAATTCCAATACAGGGCCACCATCCCAGTACGGGACTCCGTCCCAGTGCTGGACCTCGTCCCAGTGCGGGGCCCTGTCCCAGCACCCGCGTCCCGGCGCTCCCAGCGCTCCCAGCGCCGCCTGTCCCGTCCCGTCCCGTCCCGGTGCCTCCCGGCCGCTCCCGCCCCCGCCCCGCCCGGTGCCGCCCGTGGGCGGCGGAAGGTGCCGGGGGGGCGGCGGGGGAGGGAGGGGCGGGCGCAGGGCGGCGGTGGGGCCGGCCCCGGGTTCGGGATCGGCCCCGGGCTCGGGATGGCGGGGCCGGGGCTGGAGCGGTACCGGCTGGCGCTGCTGGCGGCGCGGGAGGACGTGGGGAACCCCCGGGCTGGGACCGACTGGTGAGACTGGGGGCAGGGAGGACCGGGAATGGGGACTGGGACCGGGACTGGGGACCGGGAATGGGGACGGGAAGGGGGAATCGGCACCGGGAATGGGGACGGAAGAGGGGACTGGGTCCGGGAGCGGGGAACAGGCACCGGGACCGGGAACCGGGAGCAGGAACGGGCAGGAGCACGCGTCAGGCGGGGGCGGTCCGAGAGGCACCGCTACCGGCACCGGGACGGGGGTCCAGCGCGCGCCGGGGTCCCGGCCGGGGGGTGCAGGCCCGAAGGGGGGTCCTGGGCCTGAGCCCCGCCCGGCGCCGTGCTGGGAACCGGGAGACCCGCCCGGTCCCGTCCCGTCCCGTCCTGCCCGGTCCCTCCCGGTGCCGCCGGGCTGGGAGCGGCGCCGCCACCCGGGGAGGGGCACGGCGGGCACGGGGGGGGCTGCGGGGCCGGAGGGGCACCCCGGGTGCCGGAGGGGGGGGGCTCTGCCCGGCTGCACGGGGGAGAAGCGGGTCCCGGGACGGTGGTCCCGGGACGGCCCCGCACCGGTGCCGGTGCTGAGGGGCTGGAGCCGGTGTCCCCCAAAGCCCCCATCCTGGGGCCGGGGGTGACGGCCCCGGGACTGCGCCGGCCCCGCAGCCCCCCCGGCGACACGGGGCAGCCCGTCACCGTGGCCACCGGCCGGCCGGGCACTGCCCCCTGCCCCGGCAGCGCGGCTGGACCCGCTCCAGCGCCGGCTCCTCCCGGCGCCCGCCCGCCCGCGTGCCGGGCCCTGTCCCGCCATGTGACGCCACAGCCTGTCGCGACATGCCGTGACACGCGTGACGTGCCGTGCCGCGCTCCACGCGTGCTCCCGGGGCCGTGCCGAGCCGTGTCCCGCGTGCGCCCGGAACCGGAGCCACGCGGAGACAAAGGCGGGCAGAGCCCTGGGAGTGCCGGGGGAGGAGGGTCCCTCCGGGATGGGGCCCTCGGAGCCCCCCCAGTGCCGGGCGGGGGGTCCCGGACCGCCGAGGGCGGGGGGGGCTTTGAGGGGGCCGTGCCGCTCCGGCGCTTCCCACATTCCCATTGTCCCGGGGGCGGATGCTGCCGGCGGCACTTCCATGAATTCATCCTGGGCTGGTGGCATGGGGGAACACGGGGGGTGCCCCAAACTGGCAGGTCCCCCTTGTGGGACCCCCACCCTGACCCTCCCACCTTGACCTCCCCCCCCCAGGGCGGTCTTCGGCTATGAGAAGCACCACGACCTCAAGCTCCTGGATTCCGGAGGTACCGGGAGCGATGCTTCTGGGGAGATACTGGGGGTCCCTCGTGTCCCCATGTCCCCCCTGACGCCCCCTCCTTGCAGCCGGGGGGCCGGATGAGCTCGCTGGAAAATTCTCCGCCGGCAGCGTCATGTACGGGCTGTGCCGGGTCCCCGATCCCGGCGCTGGCACCCCCCGGATCGTCCTCATCACCTGGGTGAGTGGGGGGGGAGGCCCGGGGGGACCCCTGGATGGGACCCCCCGTGCTGAGCGGTGGGTGCGGTGCCAGGTCGGGGAGAAGGTGCCGGAATCGCAGCGGGCGGAGTGTGCCGGGCACCTGCCGGCCATCCGGAGCTTCTTCAGGGTGAGTGGGGGGCGCGGAGCCCCCGGGGGGCTTCGGGAGGGCTGTGGGGGTCTCCACTCCCCCCATGCCCCCCATTCCTTCCCCCCCTAACCCCTCCATCCCGCCGGCCCGACCTTTGCCTGTGCCCGGGCGCATTCCTGGCGCTGCTGACTCAGCCGCCGCGTTCCCAGTGCTCCCAGTCTTGGCCGCGGCGCCGGAGCTGTGGTTGGGATCCCTGCCCCCCCCATTCCGCCCTGACGGGGGGGTCCTGCCCTCCCCATCCTCTCAGCCCGGCTTCCGGAGATCCGCCTGGGTCTGGGATCTGGATCCGGTCCCACATCTGGGTCCGGCCTCACATCTGGATCCAGCCCCACATCCGACACATCCAAGGGAATGGCGCCGGATCCCTGCGGGGGGCGGGGGTGCAGGGGGGGCTGTGGGTGCCGGGGGGGTGACGCAGTCCCGTCCCGGTGGCAGGAGGCCACGGCCCTGGTCAGCGCCCGCCGTCCCGAGGACGTGACGCTGGAGGGGCTGCGCCAGGCGCTGGCACAGCTGGAGCCCCCCGGGCCCCGCGCCCCCAGGAGGGGAACCCTCCCGGACATCCCGGAGCTGGTGGTGAGTGGGGGTCTCGGGGGGAGAGATGGGGAGGGCACCGGTGGGCGATGGGTACTCGCTCACCCTTCCCGGGGGTCCCCGGGCAGGGGGTGCCGGGGGGTGTTGAGGGGTGCCGGGGGTCCCACCCTGACCCCCCCTGTGCCCCCCAGGGAACCAACTACCGCAAGACCAACCCGGCGCTGGAGATCCAGCGCACCCAGCGCCATTCCTTCTGGGAACAGGCCGAGGTGGGGGCCGCGGAGGGCTGGGGAGGGGTTGGGGGGTCCCCACGGTGCCCCGGAGATGGAGTCACGGCTGTTGCCTCAGGCCACGGGGCTGAGCCCGGGGGTCCCGGTGCCGAGCCCGGTGGGGGTCCCAGTCCCGGTGTGGAGTGCAGTTGGGTCCCGGTCCCAGTGCTGAGCCTGTGGGGTCCTGGTGCGGATGTCGGGGGGGTCCCAGTGCCGAGTGGGGGGGTTCCCAGTCCCAGTGCCGAGGTTGGGGGTGTCCCGGTCCTGGTGCCGAGGCTGGGGGGTCCCAGTGCCAGTTCCCTGTGCCGTTGCCCACGGCAGTGGGGGCCCGGTGCCGGTGCCGAGGTCACTGGTTCCCGGTGCCGCTGGGTGTCCCGGTGCCGGTGCCGATCCCGGTGTGTGCGCAGCGGGAGGAGCAGCAGCGGAAGGAGGAGGAGCGGCGGCGGGAGCGGGAGCAGCGGCGGCGCTGGGAGCGGGAGCGCCTGGAGGAGGAGCGGCGCGGGGCCGCGGAGCGGGAGCGGCGGCTGCAGGAGCGGGAGCGGCTCATCGAGGAGCGGCGGTGAGGGGCAGCGTGGGGGGCCCCGGCCGCGTCCCACCCCCGCGTCCCATCCGCCATCCCCATGTTCCCACGCCCTCCTCCCGTCCCTGTGTCCCATCCCCCTGCCCAAGCACGGAGGCCCAGCCGGCCCCCCTGACCCCCCTCCCGGCCCCGCAGGCAGGAGCAGGCACGGCTGGACGCGGAGGAGCGGAGGAAGGAGCAGGAGCGATGGGTGAGAGGGGAGGGGGTAGGGAGGGGGGTCCTGGGGGAATCCGGGGGGGTCTGTCCTGGGAGATCCAGGGCCTCCATCCCAGCAGGATCCAGGGTGTCCATGCCAGGGGATCTGGGAAGATCTGAGGAGTCCATCTCAAGGGATCTGGGGGGTCAATCCTGCGGGATCAAGTGGGTCCATCCTGGAGGGAGACAGGGAGTCCATCCCAGAAGGATCTGGGGCATCCATCCTGAAGGCATCCAGGGGGCCCATCCCGGGGGGTTCCAGGAGTCGATCCTGGGGGATCTGAGGGGGTTCATCCCAGGGGATCTGGGGGGTCCATCCTGTGGGATCCATCGGGTCCATCCTAGGGAATACAGGGAGTTTGTTTCAGGGGCATCCTGGGGGGATCTATCCAGGAGGGATGGGAGGGCTCCGTCCCAGCAGGACCCAGGGAGTCGCTCTCAGGGGATCCGGGGCTCCATCCCGGGCAATCCGTGGTTCCCATCGTCCCCGTGTCCCGCAGGAGCAGCAGCAGCGGGAACACGAGGCTGCCGCGCGGGAGCGCAGGGGGAGCAGAGGGGGCAGCGGGACGGCGGCCGTGAGTGCCGGGACGGGTCCCACCCTGCCCCCGGGTCACGGGACACTCAGTGCCCTGTCCCCGTGCCCTGTCCCCGTGCCCTGTCCCCGCTGACCCCCCGATCCCGCAGGAAGCCGCCATCCTCGTCTCGCAGCGCACCCAGAACCCCCGGGAATTCTTCCTGCAGCGGGAGCGCTCCGGGTCCACGTCCGGCCCCGCCCTGCCCGGCGGCCCCCCCGGTAGGTGCCCCCATGGCGGGGTTGGGGGTTGCAGGGGGTGCCGGGGGTCCCTGCTGACCCCCCTCCCCCCAGGAGCCCGCCGGCCGTTCCTGCGGTACCAGCGCAGCCTGACGGAATCCGCCTTCATCTTCCGCCGGCCGGAGCCCCCCCGGGCCCCCCCGCCCGGCGCCTCCCGCGGGGCACCGCCCCCCAGCCCGGGCCGACCCCCGCCGCCCCTGCCCCCCAGCCCCGCGGGGACAGGGACCCCACCGTGTGCCACCCTGGGGACCCCCACCAGCCCAGCCCAAGCGGGGTCCCCCCGTGCCACCAGTCCTGTAGGGACAGGGACCCCCCAACGTGCCACCACCGGGACCCCCATCAGCCCCACGGGGAGTGGGACCCCTCCCTCTGCCACTCTGGGGACCCCCCCGAGCCCAGCCCGAGCAGAGTCCCCCCGTGCCACCAGTCCTGTGGGGACAGGGACCCCCCAGTGTGCCACCACCGGGACCCCCACGAGCCCCATGGGGAGTGGGACCCCTCCCTCTGTCACCCCAAGGAGCCCCTCAAGCCCTGTGGTGATGGGGACCCCCAAATGTGCCACCACTGGGACCCCTCCCAGCCCCATGGGGACAGGGACCCCTCACTCCATCACCCTGGGGACCCCCAGCTCTGCCACCACCAGGTCGGGGTCCCCACCCGCCACATCTGGGCCCCCCTTCAGCCCCCCCAGGATGGAGGCCCCCCCTGGCCCCCCTGGGTCGGGGTACCCTGACAGCACTTATGGGGCAGAGCCCTTGCTCCTCCCCAGCACTCCTGGTTTGGGGTCGCCCCCCAGACCCCCCCAGGATGAGGAGGGCCCCCCTCCGGACACTCCCCCCCTCCCCAGCCCCCCTGGCACCCCCCTGGATGAGGAGGGGCCCCCTCCGGACACTCCCCCCCTCCCCAGCCCCCCCACATGGGGGTCTCTGGGGCCGCTGGGTGAGGGGGTCCCCAGCCCACGAGGGGGGTCCCCGATACCCCCAGAGAGGCCCCCCCCACCCAGGCCCAGCCCCCCCTGCCTGACGCAGGACCCCCGGGACTTGGGGCGCAATGGAATTGGGGGGCACGAGTGGGGGGGCTGGGAGGGCCCCTGGGAGCCGGGACCTGCCCCGGGACAGGTATGGGGGGCAAAGGGGGCAGCGGGGGGGGCTGGGAAGGGACGGGGGCAATGGGGGGCTGGGGGGGGCTGGGTGGTGGAGGGCCGTGGGACTGGGGGTGCTGGGGGGCTGTGGGCAACGTGGGGGTGGGGGTGATGTGGGGGCCGGACTGGGGGGCTGCAAGTGGGGTCAGCTGGTTTTGGGGCTGGGGGGGCTCTGGCTGGAGAGGAGTGGGGGGGAACACACGACCCTGGGGGCTGGTTCTGGGGGTCGGGGTGGGACTGGGGAGGGGGAGAACAGGTGGGGGGTAGGATGGGAGATGGGGTGGGGTCCCCTGGGGAAGGGGGTGGGCACGGCTGGGGCTTGTGGGACCCCTCAGGGCCCCCCCAATTTTTCCAGGGGGACGAGCCCGGCGAGAGTCTCGTCCTGCACAAAGGCACACCAGGTACCCCAACCCCCCCCCCAAACCTCCCCGAGCCCCCCCGGGCTCCCCGAGCTCACCCTCCTCTCCCCCCAGGCTTCGCCCTCCTGCTGGCCCGTGACACCCCCCACCCCCCGCTGCTGGGGGGTCCCAGCCCCCTCACGGAGGACGAGGACCTGTCCCCCCACGCCGTGTAACCGGGGGGCCCAGCACCCCCTTTTTGGGGCACCACAGCCCCCTCCCCACACATCACCCCCCCAGCACAGCCCCCAACCCTCCACTTGCACCCCAATGAGCAGCTTGGGGAGGGGGCAGCACCCCTAGCCCCCCTCCTGGTAGCAGCACGGGGGGGGGGCACGGACCCCCCCGCGGGCACAGGGACCCCCCCAATCACACACAGCAGCTGTTAAATAAATTTTAATGCAAATTATTAATGCACATTATTAATAAGGGGTGTCCTGCCGGGGGGGGGCTGCCCCCCCCAGGTTAGAGGTGAGGGAAAGTAGAGCTGGGGGGGGAGGTCCTTGTGCCCCCCCGGGTTAGACCCTGAGCACCCACCCTGGGGGGACCCCTGCACCCACCCCGCGGTGGGGGGGTCCCCAGCACCCACCCTGGGGGGGGGCAATGCCCCTCCCCCCCCCTTTTTGGAGTTTAGCTCTGTCCCCCCCCAGCACAGAGGGGGCAGAAATTCCAGTTTCTCCCCAAAAAAGGAGCTGGGAGCCCCCAGTCCCCCCAGCCCCCCCCAGGCCCCCCAGACCCCCCCAGACCCCTGTGGCATCGGCCCCTGCAGGGGATGGGGGGGGTCCATCCCCTGCCCCCCCAGGTGCTGGGGTCACACCCGGGACTGGAGGGGCCTGGGGGGGTCACACTGGGGCGGTCCCGGGCTGCTGCTGCCGCTGCTGGAGGAGCTGGAGTGGGGGGGCCTGGGGGTGCCCCCCCGGCCCTTGAGGGTGCTGAGCCGGGCGTCCAGGGACAGGGTGCGGGGGCGGCCCCGCCGGGGGGGGCTGGGGCTGCGCGGGGGGGGCCCCTCGAACAGCGACAGCCACGGGGGCGGGCCCGGCGGGCGGGGACCCCCCCGGGGACCCCCCCGGTGCCCCGCCAGGATGTCGGTCACGGCCGCGATGTCGTCCGAGGGGTCAATAGCTGGGGGGCAAAGGGGGGGGCAGGGGAGGTCAGCGGCCCCCCCAGACGCCCCCGGAGCCCCCGTTGCTGCACCGGGGGGTGGGGGCTGCAAACAGCCCCCCATCATGCCCAGACCCCCCCGTCCCCCAGAGGGGGTGGTCCCCCCATGGCCCTCACAGGCGGTGGAGGGGGTGGCTCAGAGGTCCCCCCAAATGCCCCATTTCCCCCCCCATGGCCCCCGCGGGTGGGGGGAGCGTCTCAGGGGTCCCACAGTCACCCCCCCCCAGCGCTGCCCCACAGCCCCCCGGGTTTGGGGGTTCTCGGGGGCCCCCCCACTGCTCCCTCCAGTGCTGGGGGGAGTCCCGGGGGTCCCTGTGCTGTCCCGGGGGTGCTGTGTGGTGGGGTCTCGGCCCCCCCGTGCCCCCGTCACCTGTCGCTGTAGTAGGAGCTGAGCAGTGCCCGGATCTCGGCCGACACGTTCTCCTGCAGCAGGAGCCCCTCGCCCGGGGGGGGCCCGGGGGGGCCCGGCGGGGCTGGGGGGCACCGGGGGTGGCAGAGCAGAGAGGGGGGCACAGAAAAGGGGGGACAGAGGGGGGGACAGAGGGGGGGGACAGCAAGGAGAGAAGAGCAGCGTTAGGGAGCGAGCAGAGAGCAGAGAGGGGGAGACAGAGCAGAGCCCCCCCAGCCCGACCCCCCCGGCCCCCCCGGCCCCACTCACCCGTCTGGTGGTAGAGGGAGCCCTGGGGGGGCAGCGGGGCCGGGGGGCGGCGCGGGGGGGGCTCCTCGATGCGCATCAGCTCCTCACAGCACTGCTTCCACTGGCCTGGGGACGGGGGGGCACAGCAGGGCATGGGGGGGCTGCACTGGGATGGGGGTCCCACGGGATGGGGGTCCCATGGGATAGAGTCATCCCAGGATGGGGATTGCAGGGGGATGGGGGTCCCACGGGATGGGGGTCCCACGGGATAGAGCCATCCCAGGATGGGGACTGCAGGGGGATGGGGGTCCCATGGGATGGGGGTCCCACGGGATAGAGCCATCCCAGGATGGGGACTGCAGGGGGATGGGGGTCCCACGGGATGGGGTCCCCCTAGGAATGGGGGCCACAGAGTTGGGGGGGGTCCTGCAGAGAAGGGAGGTGTCCCATTGGGATGATGGGGGTCCTGAAGGGATGATGGAGGTGGTGGGATCAGGTCCCACAAGATGGGTTCCCATCAGGATGATGAGGCTCCCAGTGGGTTGGGAGTCCTGCAGGGATGGAGGGATCCCACCAGGACGAAGGGTCCCACTGGGATGGGGATCCCTCAGGACGAGGGGGGTTCCCACACAGCTCAGGGGAGTCCCACAGGGCTTGGGGAGATCCCACAGGGCTTGGGGGTCCTGTAATAATGGGGGTCCCACATGGACAGGGTCCCACCAGGATGGAGGGTCACGCAGGGACGGGGTGTCCCACACGGCTGGGGGGGTTCCCGGGGGTTGGGGGTTCCCGGGGGTCTTCACTCACCCAGGTCATAGAGGTGCTGCTCGAAGGCCTCGAGCCAGCGCTGGGCCTCGGCCGTGCTCTCGGCCACCAGGCCGTGGGTCACCTCCTCCCCCCCCAGCCGGTTGGTGACGGCCACCACGGGGGGCTGCCCGCGCCCCCCCGGCTCCGCCCGCACCCGCGTGTCCTGCGGCGGGCACAGCGCTTGGACCCCACAGCCCCTGTGCCCCCTGAGCCCCCAGAGACCCCAGAGCCCCCCAGAGCCCCCAGAGCCCCACAGAGCCCCACAGAGCCCACAGAGCCCCACAGAGCCCCCCCAGTCCCCCATGTCCCCCCGGCTCCGCTGCACCCACATGTCCTACAGCACCGGGAGACCTCGGACCTCCCAGCCCCCCAGAGCCCCCCAGAGACCTGAAAGCCCCCATCCCCCTCAACCCTCCATAGCCCCCAAATCCCCATACCCACCGTGCCCCCCACGCCCCCTGTGTCCCCCATAACCCCATGCCCCCCACGCCCCCCAGCCCCTGTGCCCCCCGTGCCCCCACAGCCCCCTGTGCCCCCTGTGCCCCCCAGCCCCTGTGCCCCCCATGCCCCCCGTGCCCCCATACCTTGGTGACAGCGATGGTGAGGGTGGGCTCCTGCCCGGCCTCGGCCCCGTGGGCGCTGCCGTAGCACAGCAGGTCGGGGCCACGCAGGACACAGAACAGGGGGGGCCCGCTCGGCCCCTCAGCCCCCGGCGCCTGCCCGGGACCCCCGGCACCGTCAGCACCCACGGGTGCCCACCGTGCCCCCTGACAGCCACCCTGCCCCCGGCACACGCTGTGCCCCCCAGGCACACCCCATATCCCCCCACAGCCCCACACCCCCCAGCCCCCCGGGATCAGCCCCAACCCCCCGCGACCCCCAGTGCCCGTCCCCCAGCACGGGGATCCCCCAGAGCCACTGGTGGGGACGGACAAGCCCAGCAGGCTCGTGCCACCACCTGTCCTATCCCCATCCCTGACCCCATCCCTGACCCCATCCCTGACCCCCCCATCCCTGACCCCATCCCTGACCCCATCCCTGACCCCATCCCCTACCCCATCCCTGACCCCATCCCCTACCCCATCCCTGACCCCATCCCTGACCCCATCCCCTACCCCATCCCTGACCCCATCCCTGACCCCATCCCTGACCCCATCCCCGACCCCATCCCTGACCCCATCCCCTACCCCATCCCCACCACGTTCCCGTTTTCATCCCATCCCAGTCTTCACTCATTTCCCCGTTTTTGTCCCTGCTCTTATCCCTGTTCCACCTCTGTCCCACCCTTGTCCCTGTCCCCGTCCTTGTTCCCCTCCCTGTCTCTCTCCCCATCCCACCCTTATCTCTTTCCCCATCCCCATCCTTGTCCCAGTCCCCATCGCTGTCCTCATTCCTGTCCTTCTCCCTGGACCCGTTCCCATCCCAACCCCATTCCTGTCCCTGTCCCATTCTTGTCCTCATCCCCATTCCCATCCTTGTTCCTGTCCGTGCCCTGTCCCCATCTTTGTCCCTGTCCCATCCTTATCCCCATCCCTGTCCCTGTCTCCATTTCCATCCCTGTTCCTGTCCCATCCCATCCCATCCCTGATCTCAGCATCCTGATCCCCCCTCGCCTGCAGTCACAGGGGATCAGAGGCAGGTGTGTCCATGCAGCCCCATATCCCTATATCCCACCCCACATCCCATTCCTGCTCCCATTCCTGACCCTGTTCCCCCTCACCTGCAGTCCCAGTGGCCACGGGGGTGTCGGTGCAGCCCATCCCTCTATCCCATACCCCATTCCCGATCCCGATCCTGTTCCCCCTCACCTGCAGTCCCAGTGGCCATGGGGGGTGCCCGTCCCTCTATCCCATTCCCATTCCCATTCCCGATCCCCGTCCCTCACCTGCAGCCGCAGGGTCCCGCTGGCCGCGGGCGTGTCCACACAGCGGGGTCTGGCGGCCAGGCGGCAGCACATGCGGCCATACAGGGGCACCCAGCAGGGGCTCTGCTCTGGGGGGGCACATGGGGGTCACACTGACCCCAAACACCCCCAAACACCCTCCAAACACCCTCCAAACACCCCCCCAACACACCCAGCAGTGGCTCTGCTCTGGGGGGCACACGGGGGTCACACTGACCCTAAACACCCCCAAACA